ATATATATATATATATATATATATATATATATAGAAAGGTGAATATATATATATAACAAATATATTTTGTAGTAATATGAAGAGGTATTTGCTCACATTACAGAACAAAAGCAGTTTTGTGTATATGTCATCAGCCCTCCAAGCTAGGATGGTAATGGAAAATGTCACTCACTGGATCTTTATGTGCCTTTTGATGTATCTGTAATTCTGTATATACACCCATATTTAAACTATGTTTTTCTGACATCATATATTAAGTGGTGTGTAATCCATATGGAAAACCTCTGGCATCTTAGAAAATACGCCTTTGTTGTTTAGAAATTATACATGTTTTTTGAAGTATGTTGTTTTAAGTATGAAATGTGAAATAATTCATAATGTGTGTAAGTATAGTGTTCCATTGTATATTGTAGGAGAAACTTTTGTAACCAGAAAAATCACTAGGTCGGTGGCTAAGATAGTACTAGGAGAACAAGAATATTTTGAGCTTGGTAACCTGGACTCAAGACGTGACTGGGGCCATGCGAAAGACTATGTAGAGGCAAGCATTATAATGAGTTTAATCAAACCTCATTTTTTAGATCAATTATACACTTGTTTACTACCATTAAGAAATCCGTTTTATTACTGGAAATTAAGTAAGTTTACTTTTTAAGAATTGTAAGATATTTTACTAATGCTGGTTTAAAAATCTCTAAATATGTTCTGAGATTTCTCTTTCTCCTTGATGTATTTAATCAGAAACTTTATGCTTCAAAATATTAGGTAATTTTATTTCTTTTTTAAATTTAATTGATAAACCAGGAGACTTAAATAATTAACTTTTACAGTCAAGTCAGTCATCTCTACCTTCTGGCATAATCTTCTATTTATTTTTGTAAAAATGGTCCATTTGTAGGATGCTTAGTAGATTTTATATGCAAAGTTTTGATACATCTCACATCTGTGGCTTCTAGCTATTGATATTTGTTGCATTTTTTGCTTGATTTCAACTCTGCACAAAGATTAAACATATGTGATTGGTTAAAAAAGTATCTTATTTCAGACTTGACATGTTTTGTTTCAGGCCATGTGGTTAATGCTGCAACAGGAGAAACCTGAAGATTTTGTGATAGCAACAGGAGAATCCCACAGTGTAAGAGAATTTGTGGAAGCTGCATTCCGTCATGTTAAGAAAGAAATTGTGTAAGTTTTTAATCATTTCAGTAACACTGAGGAACATATCAAAATTTTCCTGAAGAAAAGGTGTGTATGTGTACTTCTGCTCTGGTGAAATTTGGTTCTTTTAGGGCAAGTAGTTTGTAAGATATAAGTGATTTAAATATGAGGTTTTCTTTTCTAATTACCCTGCATATAAAAAACCAAAAGAAATATTAATATTTCATGTATTTCTAACTGCTTGTCTAAGTAATGGACAACTAGTGTATTTACATGTGTGGTAAGTTCTGTGTTTTATTTTTATTTTGTGATATTAAGTAAAATGCTTTATATAATTTCATGTGTTATTTGTCTTCCAATGATAATTACTTTTTCAAAGATCAGTTTAATTTGTGGACTTGGATACAGTATAAATATTCTTAGCTGGCTGAGGTACTGTGAGGATTGTAGTTGAAAATATTGATTAAAGTGGCAGTGAATAACTGATGATTGAATTCATGTGATTTTTAAAGCTTATAATGGAAACTTTATGGATATGATGTTACTTTTGGTAACAGTTTAACGTAAATTAAGTTGAGAGTTTTAGTTTAAAAAAATAGTGTCAGTCTTTAGTGGTTACATTACACTAAAATTTTATATCCACTACTAAAATAGAGACCACTCAGTTATTCCTGTGTATTTATGTATTTTTAGTTCAAAACTTACTGATTTGTTTTAGTGCACAGGTATTTCAGAACTTCATAATGTTTGAAGGTAAAACAAATGCATATAAAGCAAATTTAAGAGTTTATTTCTTTAAGTTTTGAAATCACTGCCAGTGAGGAATGCTTTTGGAGATACTCAGTGGGATTTGAATGCCAGGCATCTTGAAGTCCTACCAAGTATTCCTCCTTTGACATTGCTTTTTTTCCCGATGAACATAGACCCCTCCAAACACACACACACACACACACACACTCAATAGTATTGAGGTCTAGGGACTGCAGAGACTACACCAAGCATGCAAGGGTTTTGTCTGCTTCCTTTTTTGTTAAGATACATTTTTACTGCACTTGTTGAATGTTTGGGATCATTATTGTGCTGGAAAGTTATGTTTTTTGTACTAAATGGTATCCAGAAGGAATACCATGGTGAATTAGTATTTGCTTATATTGGGCAGAATTCAGGGCTCCATCAGAACACTAGAGATCACCAAATCCAGTTGCGGTTAAGCAGACTCCTACTTGGATAATATCTCCACCATGTTTGAAGGCTGCAGACAATTTTCCTTTAATCTCTCACCACTCTTATGATGATTGTACTGACATCTATTTGTGCTAAAAGTTTGTAACTCATTAAACTAAAGTACTTTTCTCCATATATAGTTGTTCAATTTTTTAGGTTTTGTGCAAACTTAGTCTTCTCTTTGTTGCCTTTCCAGAACAAAGGTTTTCTTGATGCAATTTGTGTCACTCTTTGGAAGGGGCAGTTTTAACACCAGTGATTTCATGAAGTTCTGCAGCAAGGCAGCTACTCAATGTATGTTGTCTCTAAGTGAAGTAAGCCTAATGTTCTTAACATCTGACTTGGAAATCTTGGTACTAATGGTACCAGTTTTTATTGTGTCCTGTTCTTATTTTTAGAATCACAGTTTTTGATAATTTCATTTTGCAGAAATTTTTCACTGGCTGCAACTATCTTTATAAAAAGCTTTTATTCTGTGTCTTAATCAGAAACTGTGTCTTGGAGCCATATTTTGTACTTGAAAGTAAAACAGTCATATTAGAGTCACAGACTGAAGAAAACTTTATCTACTTTTTACAAATGCAAATAATAAGTCTGTTCAAGCAAAAGTGTTTTTTGGTACTTTTACAATAGCAAATTAATAAATGTGAGGAATGCTACTTGGTATTGGATGTCAGTATAATAGTACAGCATTACATCTAGAAGTATATGCCCTAGTTTTCAGAACATGACTATTGTCAGTTCTGATGTTCTTACATCTAATGTTTTAGAACTAATTTAAACCAAACAAATTATTTGAAGGTATTTAAATAAATAAGGATTTTAGACTGGCATTATTACAGTTTTCAGCCAGGACACCTTTTGTACAGGAAGCTGAATGATGATCTCATAAAATCACGTTTTGTTTTCAGTTGTTGCATGTGATGTTTTTGTGCAGTGTGTTTTCTGACTTTACAGTGTAAGACTACTTCAAAATATTTATTGTGTATCAAATAAAAAGTTGACCAATCAGTATTACACAAGTTGGAGGTGAGACATTTATTATTAACATCATATAACACTATAAAGACAATAATGAAAAGTCCATAAAAATAATCCAAAAGGTTTTGAAGAGAGGCCTTTTCTTCATGAGATGCAAGAAATAAAACTGTAAATAACTCTTTTTGGGTTGTATTTCTGCAGATGGGAAGGTTCAGAATTGGAAGAAGTTGGGAAAGAGAAAGAAACTGGTATCATTCGAGTTCGGGTCAACTCCAAATACTTCCGTCCTGCTGAAGTAGTACGTTGATTTTTACTAACTCACATATAAAAGTATAATTAATTTCACGTAGCAGGTGCTCCTAGAATTTATTTATTTATAAAGAAGCATTTTTCTTGACAAACTGTTATACTTTCTTCAAGCAGTGCACAGACTGTCACATTTTCTAAAGCTTAAAAAGACTTAACAAAAGGTCGTGGAAGTTTAATCTTCACTCACTGTATATCTCAAAAATGCAATATCATTGGTAGATTACAAGGAGTAGCTAGGCATATATTGTTTATTATAATGCACATAAAAAGTTTCTTAATTGAACCTTCTCAGTGTGGTGCTGTTGAGAATATTTAGGTTTCCAGCAAACATTAAAAAACAAAAATGAACCATAACAGTAGGCTTAGAGTTGATATTAAGATTGGTGTTAATTATGGATTGAGTTTAATGAAAGGAAAGACAACCTGTTTTTCAGTTGAATATTATGCTTTTTGTTTCTTTTTTTTAAAGATTTCGAGTATTAATACTGAAAACGTTTGAAAAAAAACAAACGTCCTATGTTTTTGTGAATGCAAGATCATTTATCATATGTGTATAGAATAAATTTAACAGTCATACTTTGATTGCCATACATTTCAACTAATAGCGTCAAGCTTTTGTTACTAGCTAAATCGAAATTTCTATCCTTACATTCAGTTCTGAAAATGGTCCAAAGAAGATGTATGTAAAGTGATATATCAAAATATGATAAAATCATCCAAGTTTTTTTTCTACTTTCAATTCTTTCAGCACACAAATGGTAGCTGTTTTGTATAAATATATGTATAAATTTATTGCACTTAGCAACCAAATTGTCTTATCAATTGGAATTTTTTTGTATAAATATATGGATTGAAGTTAAAGTTTGAAGGAGAAATATTATGATAAAATTAGACCTATTTTATTGTGCCATCTATTAAGCATATATTTATTGTATTCAACAACCTGAAACTAACTTAAACACTTAAAGGTTGAATATAATTTTGATTTTTAGTGACAGTATATTCTTACTTTTGTGTTTTGTCAATAGATGACAAAAATAACTTTTGTTTTGTTTATTTCTGTGAGGTGGTACATAAATTTACTTTTATTTACTTACAAAGAATTTTTTATTATTATTTATACACATCTGAGCATCTAGGCCAACAAAGACATTTTTACCATAATAAATACAATAATGGAAATATATCCAAACACTCTTGGCTAGAAATCGAAAACTTTTGAAAGTGGCCTTTTTTTCATGACGTAGAAAAAATAAAACAGTAAATTAAATAAATTTTTTGGTACAACGCATTTTATCTCATCAATCAGTGCACAGACTACATCACATTTTATAAAGCTTAAAAAGACTTGACCTTGTGTACAATATAAACACATTAACTAAAGCTCATAAAAATTATCTAAAAGCTTTTCAAGAGGGGGTCTTTTCCTCATGAGGTGCAAGAATACATCTCATAAATGGAATACACAAAACGTTTTTTGATTGAAACATCTCAATGAGGTGCTGTTCAGGATATTTAGATTTCCAGCAAATATTTAAAAACAAAAATTAACCCCAACAGTAGCGCTTAGAGCTGAGATCGAGATGAATGTGAATTATGAATTGAGGTAGAAGTAAAGAAAGACAACATGCTTTCAATGTGAATATTATACAATATTATAATGCTAGAAAAACACGTATATTCAAAAAGTCTTAGTATAAAACAATAAAAACCCTATAACCCGAGCACTTTCGAAAGGCGGACATTCTTCTTCAGTAGTTTACCCCTAAAGAAGAAAGGTCCACTTTTCGAAAGTGCTCGGGTTAGAGGGTTTTTATTGTTTTATACAGTATTATAAAATTGTATTCTATGGGGGCTTTATAATTATAACAGTCAATCCTGCTGTAGCTGTAAAATAGGCAGCGGATACTGCTGACTACTATGCTATGTTCATTAGTTTGTATGTCCACAGCTAGATGGCTATCATAGCTGTATATGTTTCAAACAATAATTTAAAATAATGTGTTTTCGTAGGGAATTAATGTGATCTCTTTGTGCACACTAACTAGAATAGCTATGTACATTTAAATGTTTACAAAAATACTTGCATAGTTTAAATTATAACATATAATTTAACACATTTACTGTAGGTTGTTATTTAATAAATTGTGTGTGATTTTAAAACCATAAAAAACATCCTTAAAGATATTTTGAATTCGAATTCAAACGTCAGTAGTGATTATCTGGAAAGATGACAACAAGTTAGACAATGCATAACGTGTAAAGAAATTGCTTGACCCCTATACATATAGCGATTTTGTCATATTATGGTTAACCTGCCAAACAAAAGGTAAGAGCACGGTCTGGTTAACAAGGTGTTGATTAACGCCGTTTCTTTGACTGGTTTCTCAAAGACATCTATCATCATAATCGACCATTAATAGGGGTTACCACAGCACAACTGGAAATGTGTAAGGTTGCCTGATGAATTGCGTTTCATCCCTTTTTTATTTTATTCTTACAGTGCAAGATGCTAGAGGTGGAGTAATGGTGTGGGAGACGTTTTTGTTTTTTTTGGCAGGATTTGTGTGTTTTGGTTCCTTTAAGAGACGGCGTAACATTTAGAGTTAACAGTAACCCGCTCACAGTGGTTTGTTTCTACTCTCAAGGACAATAGTACTTTCAACGTGATAATGCAAGAATCCGCAGTACTCGTCCTACATTGGTTAAAAGAGTGTGATAATGACTGCAGTATCTTCATTGTCCTCCACAATCACCAGATGTTATGTTATAGCAGCGAAGGTTGTGCAACCTGATATAATAAGAGGTTTTAATAATATGTTTCAATAATGTGTTTATGTAACCGAGTGAAAAGTTTGTGTTTTAATATTAATCTGTTTTTAGATATTTTCATGTTTCTGTCACGCATTTGAACTTATGTATATAGCCCAATGTCTCTTGTTCATGGGACTTATAGAGAGATCGTATCATTTAAATTGTGTTTATATCTATAAGTGAAAGGAAATAGTTCTTCTAATACAAAACAAATGTGTTCGAGTTGGTTAAGTGGATTGCCATCCTGAAGTATTTAGATTAGGTTTACCAAAATGTTTCATGACAGAATTAACTAAAATATATGTGAGTGATTGTATCGTGTAGTGTGTGCTTATCAGATGATCTTGATTTTTGACAGTAATTGTCTTTAGTGACGAAGCCTTAACTTTATTAAATTCACTCGGGTTAAATATTTAATCGCAAAAAAGAACACGAAAGTTTGTTTGGAACTTTGGATTATTGAATGTCACCACACGGCTCCAAGATTTTTTGTTAAGGCTTAGCAATTTAATGGAAACTACTTTGTTTTCTCTGTAGTTTATACCAAGTAATAAGCATGCTGGAATATGGATCTGTGAATCCATCGTTTGAGATCAATTACAGCAAATAAATAAATAGATAAATCGTGCTCCGCACTTTTGGGGTGTGAGTGCATTATAAGGTTGACGGTCAAACCCCAGTATTCTGTCAGGCAAGAGTAGTCTAAGAATTGGCGGTGGGTGTTTTTGACCTGCCTTCCATCTAATCTACCAGTTCAAAATTATGGATGACTAGTACATATAGCCTTTCAATAGTTGTTTATAAATGTCTGAAAACAAAGTTTATAGGTATAAACCAAAAAAGAAAAAGAAGTAGTAATGATGTTTTTTATATAGTTCAAATTGTTTCGTATTTTAGGATCAACAATGAGTTGTGCACAAAACAGTCTGAAGCAAGCGTAAAGACGAAAGTGAAAACATTATTAGAAAATTCTTTTGTGAAAAGAAGTCTACTTTGTCAGCTATCACATACTGCCTGAAAGTTGGTTTAGATCTATCAATTAAAGGGGCTTTATGCAAGTATGCTTGGCCACAGTGATTCAGCCGTTGCAAGGAAAAGAATAATACCCTTAAGGCCACTGTGGATGGGCAGTAAGCCGTGGACTGAATTAATGTAGCGCTCATCAGAAGACTGGTTTTTGTGACACGCTACGTCCTGTTAATCTTTTACGCTCCAATTTTTTAGTATTGAAGATTGTACGTCTTTTTGGTTGCCATTTATGTATAAATGGGACTCACTAGTAGACGTTTAGTAGTGATGATGCTGTAATTTTTATCATAGAAGATTCAGGCTTGATTGTGTATTCACCCAAGAAGCCTTGCAGTAAAAGCCTAATCGTATTTATGTTATTTTAGGACTCTCTCTTGGGAGATTCCACCAAGGCAGAGAGAATGATAGGATGGAAACCAAAGATCACATTTGAGGTAATGCTTTTGTTGTTTTCCGGGACTTAACTTCTCATTTTCCTATGTAATCATAAGCAAACGTGTTATTTTTATGGTGGTATACACTTATTTTCATACTAAAAACTAATCATTACATTTATAAAAGATAATGGACAAATTATGGACGTGTTAGGTACTTATACTTTAATGTTTTTTTGCATGCTGTTTACTTTTCTTTATTGGCCCGGCATGACCAGGTGGTTAGGGCACTCGACTCACAATCTGTGGGTCGTGGGTTCTAATCCGCATCCCACCAAACGTGCTCGCCTTTTCAGCCTTGGGGGCATTATAATATAATGGCAGTTTGAATGCAAACGTCTCATTGAAACTTTAGAATGTCCTTCTGAGAACAAGGATATTTCTGAGACCTAATAATGAAAGAAGAAAACAAAAAGCTAAAA